TTAAAAAGTAATTTTAATGGGAACACAGCAATCAATATTTGGCTTTTAATTAGGTTTTAGTGGGGTTATTTTGTGTATTTTTGTATGATTTTTTTTGTATCCTGTATATTGTATTTGTGTTTTTAATATGCTGTGAACCGCCCTGAGTCCTACGGGAGAAGGGCGGTATACAAATTAAATTAACCTTAACCTTAACCTACATGTTGGCCATTTGGTTTTAATGAGACACTTTTTTTTCATTCTTTGAATAATAATCAAATCAGTTGATGGTGTCTAAACTTTCCAGCAAACTTGGAAAGATAATCAGTTGAAAGAAGAGTGCTATAGGCGTTTTCGTTATTTAGAGAAGCAAGTTGAGCAGCAAATAAATCTAATAAATAGATAAATACACTGTCAATATGTAAGCATAACTGACATTTTTAAATTGCTCGTTTAAAAATCAGTGTCTGAAGATTTACTTTTAGGATTTAAATGCCTTTTAACAATTGACAGAAAGATTGTCGTTTGGCATCCAGTTTGGATTTTTTAAATTTAAATTATTTTATTTATTAAAATCTATTTCTTCTCTTTATTTCTCTGTTAATTTCAGGCTGAAGAATTGTCCACTTATAAAGCGGTAGTTTGGATTGCATTTCTGGATTCAAAACAGATCTCCTCTGTGATGGCAGATCATCCATATAAAGCCTTGTTAATGTCGTGTAAATATACACCGTTTATTTGGGATTTGTTTATTTCTTTTAATTTCAAAGTTTAAAAAAAAAAGGAAAACCAAAGTTCTGCGGAGTGCAAAAGATTCTGTCCTGCGAAGGACGACTGCTGCATTTTAATGATAAAAGCATGAGGAAATTTAAATAAACTAAATTTATCGATTTCCCACCCAGCGCTGTCCAATGTTTTGTGGAGAGATCTTAAGCACAGAGGTGAGAAGGACCCTTTTAAGAATGTGTTGGAGGGACCAAACTCTTCTTGGCTGTGCTGAGTTGTCCCACAACAAGCTGGCCCTAGCGATTTGACTGTGGCTAGCTGGCTGTGCCAACTTGACCCATTCTGATCTGACAGATGTGAGTGGCTGTTGGTTGGGGTGCACAGCTGCTTTGATGAGCTGAAGGTCCCGGCAGAAATATTCACCCATTGAATGCCCAAGAAAATTAGAAGTACCAAACAAGACAACACAAAACACATTGACTCCTAAAACAGCTTGAGTGACACTGTGCGTTTTGGGCAAACACAGATGCCCCCAAAAATCCAACAGCGATACAACCACACTCTCTTTGAACAGCCAATGTGGCAAAGTGTTCTTAATACACTCTGTGAAAACTCAAGTCAGCTCCAGGTTTAGGAGCATCTTGCCCTAAAGTCTCCCACATAATTCCCAGATCTGGTCCTGGCAGGATGGGAAGACAAAAACAACGCAAAACAAAGATGTCCGAGAAAACAAACTATGTTGGGAACAAAGAAGAAAAGAGGGCATTAATCCTCCTTGCCAAAGGCCTGGGCGAAGAGCCAGTCTTTGGGGGCCCTTTGAAATACCATCTGCCATTTGTGTTCACTGACCCAGTTCTGGGGTTCCACTCGTTGCCCAAGGAAGCCTCTGATGATTATTTTTTTCTTCTCTCAAAGCTTCACCCTCAATTTATCCTTTGCGGCTTTTTTCACAGTAGTCTTCAACTTACGACCTCAGTTGAGCCCAACATTTCTCTTCCCAAGCAAGACAGTTATTAAACGAATTTTGCTCCATTTTACGACTTTTCTTGCCACAGTTGTTAAGCAAATCTCTCCAGTTGTTAAGTTACTAACACGGTTGTTAAGTGAATCTGGCTTCCCCATTGAACTTTGCTTGTCAGAAAGTCACAGAAGGGGATCCCATGACCCCAGGACACTGCAACCGTCATAAGTAGGAGTCAGTTGCCAAGTGGCTGAATTTTGATCATGTGACTGCAAAGGTCGTAAGTGTGAAAAACCATCATAAGGCACTTTTCAATGCTGTTGTAACTTGGAACGGTCCCTAAGTGAAACTGTTGTAAGTTGAGGACTACCTGTAACTTGTGGACTTCTGGCTGAGGAATTCTGGGAGTTGAAGTCCACAAGTCTTGAAGTTGCCAAGTTTGAAGACCCTTGCTCTAGTCGTAGCCGGTTTTAGGGAATGGTGCTATTCTGTTTCATTAGGCCACTGAGCCTAAAGAAAATCTTTCCACGGTCATATGTCCAGTGTGATATTCACCCCGCACGCAAAGCACACGGCAAAACATGGGATGTTGTTACAGCCCTTCGCTTAGTGATTATTTACAATTGCGCTGAAAAAAGTGGCAATCGGTCCTCGCAGTTAAAACTGTCACACCACCCCCATGGTCCCATGATCAAAATTCAGGTGCTGGACAAGTGGCATGTATTTATAACAATTTGCTGAAGAACTATATGATTCATCTAACAAGGGTAGCAACAATTCACTCAAGCACCGAGGGGGAAAAGGTGGTGAAAAATTGCCAGGACTCGCTTGACAAGTAGTAGTAGTAGTAGTAGTAGTAGTAGTAGTA